CTATTTCAATTGTCTGTATGTCCTGCACATATGGCATTATTGATAATAAAGTTGACTTGACTTATCTCCCAGGACACTGTCCCTAGACATTGCTTTTGGTACAGTGTGTAAGTACACTGAGAGCCTCTATCAGGAACACCCAGATAAAATAATCTGGATACAACAGGCCTGTAATAAACCTTGTTTCATGAAGGTTATATGGCCAAAGAGGTTTTTCTTCAGTCGTATTATAATTTCATGGGCTGCAAATTGCACTGCTACACAAAGAGATGTGTGTGTTGTTCAGCCTGATTTGAATCAACATGAAAACAGAATTGTTGTGTGTTATTATGTGATCATAACAAACTGCTTACTGAGTGTAAGATAAGATTACATAATATAACATAACATAAAGATAAAGCAGCGAGAGAGGATAAAAAATATAGAATAAGCACATAATACCCACCTTTCTCTTTAAAGAAATACTGCTGGTACATGTGCTTGAGGTTTATGAATGTGAACACATCGTGCTGTACATACATGTGCACGTGGGTGGGTTTGTCACGTGTCACAAACTGGCAGGTGCAGTCACAATCGCGGTGGACTGCGGTGCTCGGGAAACACAGTCGGAGTGAGAGCTCTGTATCTCCACACGCTCTCCTTCCATCCGGCCGTGACGTGTCCTCCTGCAGCCCGTCAGTGTCAGTGTCAGCCAGTGTCGGTGTGTTGCTGCTGCTGCGCCGTCGGTAGCTGGTCGGGAGTTAGCCGCGGAGCTAACCTGCAGCCGAGCCGAGCGGAGCCGCGAGCGAACCCCCGCAACCTCCCCAATGCATCCCCCGCGGCCGCGATGGCAGCGACGGACCCGGTCTGAGTCGTAGCTCCTCCGCCATGTAGTCAGACGGCGCGGCTCTCTTGTGTGTGGTCACCGTTAGCGTGATTTAGCTATTTCCCCACCGGTAGCTAGCTATTTTTAAAAAAAAATTTCATTTCTCCCTCCTCCTCCTCCTCCTCCTCCTCCTCCTCTTCCCGACTGTGTCCGGGACAGACGGCGGCAGCTAGCCCGCCTCTCTCGCCCCTACAGGAGGATGCTGAAGCTGTTCGGCGCGCTGGTGATCCTCGGACTGGCCCTGGCGTGCATCACCTCCTGGGTGCTGGACAGCTATGACACGGCTTGGCACCCGAAGCGGAGCGTCCAGCACCCGGGTGCCGGCGACGGAGCCCAATCCAAGGGGAGCTCTCCACCATTTCCCGGCGGCGAGTTGGACAATATCTTCTGGTTTATACAGGTGGGTTATTAAATGTGACCTACCAGCTGGCTCCTACTGGTTCCTATAACAAGCCTCGGCTAACCTCTCCACCAGCATTTTAGATGGTATTGTCCCTCATTTAAAGCCTCGGTAGATTATCTGCTGTGCTGCTTGAACTCTGACAGATTGAGTGAAAGGGGTCACTGACTGCAGAAGTGTGTCATTGTTGGATAAACATGTAGTTCAGCCACACAGGAAGTGCTTAGACTTTGCACCCTCACCTCTTTAACACACAGTCCAAGCACAAGACCAGTTTTAATCCTGATTTGTGCTCCTGTGTTCAAGGTGTCTGACATTCACATCAGCCGGTTCCATGACCCAAGGCGCATTCCTGATTTTGAAAAGTTCTGCACCGACACCATCGAAGTGATCCAGCCAGCTCTAGTGCTTGCAACAGGTACTGTAATGTCTCTGCCTCACGTCTTGTATGAGTGACTAGGTGTGGCCCTCGAGTCAGTGCACAGATCTCACACACTTTTCCCCTTTCCGCTCCACAGGGGACCTGACGGATGCTAAAACAGAGAGTAAGGTGGGTTCCCTGCAGCACGAGGTGGAGTGGCAGGCCTACCACAACATCCTGAAGAGGTCCCGGGTGATGGAGCGCACACGGTGGATAGACATTCGAGGAAATCACGGTGATAAACCACAACATCATCTCTTAACTCACCGATTTAAGTGGAGGATCCTAGACGGGGCCTGACCGAGTAAAATGAGCCGATATGAGCCTTTCACAGATATTTTTGTATCTGTGTTTCCTTACATAAAAACACCCGCTAACATCTGGCTTTTGTCTGCAATGGGAATGGAAACAATCGGCATTCACTCCCTGCAGTAAACGTGGGTACACCAAATTTTGGTGTAAAAGAGCTTTAACATAAAAAATGTTAATTCAATTTCAGTAAATGTGATTGTTTCATTCAAACCATTGTTAATAGCATCTTCCTAAAAAAACCCCAATATCAGTTGTGCTCTAATCCTTGAGTTAAGATTTCCAGAAGAATCCATTAACTGTGGTTCTTTCTAGCATCCCACAGGAAGTCATTCCCCCCCCCCCC